TCCTCCTCTCTTTCTCTGTCCCTCCCCCGCTCTCTACATCCCTCTGTCTATCCCCACTCTTTCTCTGTCCTCCCCCGCTTCTCACATCCCTCTGTCTGTCCCCATAGAGAGGACCTCTCTCCTCCTCTCTTTCTCTGTCCCTCCCCCGCTCTCTACATCCCTCTGTCTGTCCCCATAGAGAGGACCTCTCTCCTCCTCTCTTTCTCTGTCCCTCCCCCGCTCTCTACATCCCTCTGTCTGTCCCCATAGAGAGGACCTCTCTCCTCCTCTCGTTCTCTGTCCCTCCCCCGCTCTCTACATCCCTCTGTCTGTCCCCATAGAGAGGACCTCTCTACATCCCTCTGTCTGTCCCCATATAGAGGACCTCTCTCCTCCTCTCTGTCTCTTTACCTTTCCCTCCCCCTCTCTCTACATTCCTCTTGGTCTCTGTCCCTATAGAAGACCACTGGATAGACTGCCATCCTGAACAGGGACTGTTACAACCAGGGACGGCCTGTTCAATAGGGCGATATGGGCGACGCACTGCCAAACGGGAAAAGGAAGGGATTTTTTTTCTAATCAATTATATCACGGCAACAGTAGTTATCAGTGTTGTAATCTATATGTCTGATCTGCCACAGTGCCACACTGCCACTAAATGTCGAATCAGGCTAAAGTCGTGCTTCAAATGGCTCCACCCCCTTTTGGGGCGATTTCAGTCAGATTGAAAATCGCCCAGAACTTCTGTCATAGACTCCCATGTAAAATCTATTTTTTTCAAATTTCAGAGCCTTCAATACAATCTCAATGGGTGTCTGTGGGCTTGCACTTACGCGCTTTCGTCATACGTTACGTAACCATGAACGTAACTGAGAAAAGAGTGGATTGTTTGAAAGAAAAGTTCCTTTTTGTCGGCGAACAAATGAAGATAAATTGGCAACGAAACAATTAGGACCTCCCAGACCAAATTTAATAATTCAACAGGTTTCTACTAAAGGCGGAAAGTCCTACACCCGAGGATTTTCCAAAAATTGGTACGAACGAAAAAAGACATTGCCACTCACTCAACTGGATGACGAGGGATACAGGCTAGCTGTCCGCCGCCACAACGATGAGGTTAGTGTTGATAATCACAAGTTTACTGGATGTGGATATGGTGTAATAAAGGCAGTTTATTCAGAGGTAAATATATCTGGAATCGCGTTCACGGACCCGTTCGTCAAACTCTTAGGGAGCTATAAATTAAGCCCCATTACTTACCATATCAGATAAGAGAAATTGCTGCAGCTACATATATTTTACATCCTGGCCCTACATAGTTCACTATTTGCATCACTTACCAAAATATTACATGTGGTCATATATGCTTGGAAAGTGGAGATGCCATAGAACGTCAAAAAAGTAAACATTGCTGGAGACACATTGCCGTTTTGGAGAAGACATCGCGTTTGCTAGCGAAGAGATTTGTTGTGGCAAATGAACTTGGGCTGGGAATTGCCAGGAACCTCACGATAAGATATATGCATCAGCATTGCGAGTCTCATGATTCTATACGTATTGCGATTCGATACTGTGATTTTATTGCGCACCATATGTCTGTTGCAGAGGGATCAGAAAGCCATGAGAACGAGTTTTGATCAGTCATGGAAATAAAAGTGCTGAAAACAAATTGGCTCCCAATGTGAAAAGATTGAGAACAAGCTATGAAGGAACAATAATGGTGTTTTGGTGCAGGTACAGCCAACTAGCGCTAAAATATTGCGATATTGTCAATACAGTATATCGTAAAGTATCACTATGTAACTCGATTTCTTTCACCCCAATCCCTCAAATTAACGGTAAATAACTGAATTGTTTGCCCCACATTTAGCTAAGATGATTAGCTAGCCAGCTAAAATGTTTTAGTTAGTTAGCAGTCGCATCTACAATAGTTTACTGTCAATAACATGTCTCCAAAAATGACGTGGTGTCTCCAATTGTGTTGACATTTTACAATTGCAATGCGCATCCATGAGTATCCACTTTCTGTAGCTCAGCTGGTAGAGCATGGTGCTTGTAACGCCAAGGTAGTGGGTTCGATCCCCGGGACCACCCATACACAAAAATGTATGCACGCATGACTGTAAGTCGCTTTGGATAAAAGCGTCTGCTAAATGGCATATTATTATTATTATTATTATTATTATTATCTGAAGAGAGCCCCGAAACATTGTGTGCAGACATTTTATGCAATAAATGAAGTAGGTTCAATCTAGTAGTTCTGATCTTCTGATTGGTCCTGATGAGTTGGGCGAGGTCCCCTGCAGGCTACTGTCACTGTTGCATTGGCTCTGAGTCGGGTTCTCTGTCTTCAAATGTTCAGCCTAAGAGAGGGGATTTTTGTGTGTGTGTGTGTGTGTGTTTAACAGTGATGATGTGTGTGTGTGTGTGTGTGTTTAACAGTGATGATGTGTGTGTGTGTGTGTTTGTGTGTGTGTGTGTCCTCAGAGCAAGAACTCGTGAGTTGGAAGAACTGAGAGGCCTATGGCGTGGGTGTTGTCCTTGGCCACCTGCTGACAAGGCTGACAAGATAGGACCCTTTTGTCCATTGTTATTGGATAGGAACAGAACTTATAACCAGCTCCTGACCTAAATAGATCTTAGCACAACATTTTACTCAACATATCATATTCCATATTCACTATAACAAATATATTTACTACGACATTAGCAAGAACCGCCACATCCTCAGCCGGCTAATCCAGTGTGTGAAGTTTTGCGGAGTGTTTGAGTTAGCTTTGCGAGGCAAAGATGAAACTGAGGGCTCCACCAACCCTGGTAAGCCAACACTTTTGAGATCAGTCAATAAATGCTTCTGGTATTGACTTATATGCTGCCCCTGTCTTCATGTTGTTGCTGGACATATCTTTTTTTAAATGTGTGTAGGTCACCTAAATCATCAGAAAAATTGCCCCTCCTGAGAATTTTTTCAGGAGCCGCCACTGGTTACAACCAAAACCTTTTGAGATTCATCCAACTTCAAACTGCCAACCAATGCTCCGGTCGACGAAAGGCAAGCCCCTTCCTTTGCCCATGTCTAAATTCTTGTTAGTGTATGACTGGTTCAACACCCAACCGTATCTGACATGTACAACATTTATGCAAAGCATGGTTGGATTGAAACTATTAGCATAGTCTATAGAATAGAGCCATAGATATTCTACGTAAATAAACAAACTAAAGTGCTGTATATGTGGACTAAACCAAAACATCCACAGATCTCAGATGGGCATAAAAGTGTTGATAAATGATATGTTAAATTAACATCTCTCACTCTCCCTTTCCCAGTCTAGCTGACCTGTAATAACCCCATTCATCCCTCTCTCCTCCAGATGGGGCTCACTATCCCTCTCTTCTCTTTGCCTCTCCTCCCCCCATTGCTCTCCCCTCTTAACCACTATCTAACACTTCATTCAGTGAGACCAGACAGAGCGCACCACTCTCTCCTCTCCCGCCTTTTCTCACTTTCTCTCTTGCCTTCTCTCTCCTTCAGTCTCATTCCTCTCTGCCTACTTGACTCGCTCTCTTGTCCATCTGTCCATCTGTCTGTTTCTCTGTCTCTCCCGCTCTTTCTCGCTTTCTTTCTTCTTCAGTCTTTTTCCTTCGCTCTCAATCTGTCTCATGTCCGTCAGTCTGACTGTTTCTCTCTCTCCTTCTCATCTTTTCTGTTCATCCCATCCCATTCTCTCATCTCTTCTCCATCCCTTTTTCTTTGTCATTATATTGCTTATCCTCCCTCCCTCCCTCCCTCCCTCCCTCCCTCCCCTCTCCGCCTCCCTTCATCCCCCCACCTGTTCTTCCCCGTCTGAGCGAGCAGTGCAGGTCCATCTGGGGACGTGTGCTCGCCTCGCGCCAGCCAGAAAGGGATGATGTAATCAAGTCATCGCAGCAGCAACAGACTACACACTGTCTGAATGCAACTCATACTACCACCTTGGAAAATCAACACCACTATAACCTGCCTCTTTTAGAGAATAACTAAAACAACCAATTCACTCGGATTAACTGATGAACACAGTCAGTAGAGCACTCATTTCAACAACAAAGAAAGGGTCAGTAGTGACACATGATAAAGAAAACACTAACGGTGGAAAACACTCCACAGTGCACACCACTACCAGTCAGTAAAGCTATGTAACACATGGCATGTTAAGGACATAGACACACAGAAACACTGTCTCCTCCCAGTTCCCCCAGTGCTAAAGCTAGTCCAGAGACCAGAAGGAAACAAATCCCACAATTAAAACCAGTGGTAGACAGACCATAGACACCATTACCACCCTAGATTGCTGCTTACCGGAGCCCTGTAACCATGACAACAGACATGGAGAGAGCGAGAGAGAGGCAAGGAGGGTAATATTACTCCATACTACTGCCTGCCCCCCACCCAACCATAGAGGGGGTATGAGAGTGATATTAGTGAGGGGAAAAGTACAGGAGAGAAGAAGGGAGAGGGAGGGGAAGAGGAGGTGAAGGCGAACGGAAGGATAGTGAAGGACCGGGAGAAGACAAAGGGGTCTAGTGAGAGGGAGGGAGGGAGGAGCGAGAGCAATAATAAAGAGAGGGAGGACAGGAAGGAAAGTACAGAGAGGAGAGAGAGAACAAGAGGAAGAGAATGAGAAGAATGAGGAAGGGGAGAGAAACAGGAAGCTAGAGAGACAAGGACAGCCAGACACTCAAAGGGAAATAGAGAACGACAAAGGAAAAAAGGGAGGGAAAGATGGACAGAGAATGGGGGAGACTTGGTATCACCCAGGGAGAGCGAACTATGATGTTAGCCCTTACCCGCGATGCTGATTTGATGGTGGATAGTAGACAGACAGACAGAGAGAGAGAGAGAGAGAGATGAAGCTAGAGAGAGAGAGAGGTGTGTTGACCCTTACCAGCGATGCTGATTTGATGGTAGAAAAGTTGTTGTGGCGGTATGTGTGTGCCTGGCTCTTGTCTGAGGAGGCTGGTCTCAGCTCTGGCCTGTGTTCACGTTTCAGACCATCATCCCAGTTATACCCTTGGTCCTGACGAAAGAGAAGAGAAACTGAGTTTCATGGCTTGTTCCTACAATAGTATTACTTTTCACAGTGCACAGAATGAGATGAGAAAATTGCAAAATCCAGGTGCACTTTTGGATGGTAGTGAACATGTTTTGGATTAAACTTAACCCAAAGTGTGATGGTTAGAGTATAAACCTGGAGGGTTTGTAATCTTTTTAGTCATAATGCCAATACTGCAACTTCACTACAACACATTGTGCTCAGTTCATGTCCTGTTCATGACCAGTTATATAGAAAATGAACTATAATCTATAGACAGACAATAGTCTGTCACCTCCTCATGTTCTGCTATCCCCAACGGTTGTCTTGTGACACATCGTCAACCTAGACACCAAGTGACATTCTTAATAACAGTTTGTCATTGCAGGCAGATTCATAGACAAAGACAAGGAACAAGACGTGGCTAAAGATGAGGAATGGCATCTCATAATCTGCTGCTGTTTGAAGCGTGTGTGTGTGTGTTGTGCTATGATGCCCAAGACAAAGAGTATTCAGAGTGAATCTCAGCCATTCAGCAGTGTGTCAACATCAGCCCTCAGCCTGCATGGAGACGCCAGCGGAGAGGAGAGGAGAAGAGAAGAGAGGGCATCTTTGTTCTGAGGGTGTGATTCACAGCAGTGATGAACTCTGGCTCTGTGTATCTCTCTCTGTGTGTGTGTGTGTGTGTGTGTGTGTGTGTGTGTGTGTGTGTGTGTGTCTATCAGGAGCATATTTTTATAGGAATCAAGCTAAGCAGGATTTTGGAGAGGGTGAAAAATTTGTCTGGTTTCCATGGTGTCAGTGTTTAACAGCGATGGGTTTATTTGTGAACAGTATGATTATATGATTACCTCAGAGAGGTTGGTTGTGTGTGTTTGTGTGTTTCTTTAGACGTGGGTTGGAGGGAATAGTGCAGAAGCTCACTCCTTTGTACGAGTCTTTATGTTTATGTGTTGACGCACCCCTAAGAGCTGTCATTCTTGAGGACGTGGGTTGAAGTTTGGTGTAGGTGGCTGCTGGCTGAGGGGACTAGATGAGCAGTACCTTATTGGCATGCGTGTTCCTGTTTGTTTGTGCTATTCTTGAGAACGTGAGTAGGGTTGGAGCGGGTGACTACCTGGAGGTTCACTGATAGTGCCAGATGAGTCTTACCTTCTTGCTGTGTGCGCGTGATACGCACGTGTGCGTATGCTAGCTTGTGTGTGTGTGTGTTTCTCTCCCTCTGTCAGTGTTACCTTCTTGGTGTGTGCGGAGGACTCGAGGGTGCTGTCGTAGTCGTGGTGCATCATGGTCATGTCGGAGCAGCTCTCGTCTAGGACCTCCTGCATGCTGTTGATGCTGCTGCTCCGGCTACCTGTACTGACCGAGGTGCTGGGGACGGAGTGATTACTGCCCAGGCTGTTCGTCTTACAGCTGGCCTGCTCAGATTCCTGGAGGGTACAGAATCAGGAGATGGGGATCAGTTTTCAGTATGGTAATTGTGGGAAACACACATGCATGCTTTTGTGTCACACGCTCTGTTTTGTGTGACACACTCAGGCATACTGATCCGGTTAGGCCAGACACACAGACAGACATGACTGTAGGACATAGCTACTGTCTGTCTGTCTATCCAGGTGAAATGGACCCCCATTGAGACAAATGGGGGTTAATGGTCAATTTGACATGAGTTTGAATGTGTTGCCCTCAATTGCAGGACATTATTTCTGCTGTATCAAGGTCGCAAGCTTAATGAGGCTATGTGGCAACCCATTTATTTACTGTATGTGTGTGTCTGTGTCGGAGGCAGGACCTAGCACAGGGAATCAAATAAAATTACCTCAAGCACATCCTGTCTGGAAATCTGTTCTTTATACATGTTTATTCAGAGCTTTTTGATGGTGACAAAAAGCCAGAAAAAATTCTGGGAAATTAGCAGTGACAGTTTTTCCTCTGTCCAGCTCCTGACCTGGACCGTCTCTCTGGATATCACGTAATTTACACCAGTGGCTACTTTGTGTGTGCTACTTGGGCCTGGTTCATGACCGGTAAACAGGTGTCTTCTCCATGTCAACCTTTTCTGACCTCTGAGACACCTATTCCTCCTCCGTGACAGTTATTCCTTTTCGTGCCAAACAGGAATAGGAGTTCAGTTGAGGTTTAAACCTTCCTTCACTCAAGAAGCAAATCTATTCTCACACATACAGTACAAATACATGCCACCCATTTTATCTTTGGTGAACATATTTTGTTTAAGTGGTGTTAAACCCACCTCCTCCTCCTCCTGGCTCTCCCCCATGGGTCCGTTGTGTTTCTCCTGGTAGAGGATCTTCTTCATCTTGCGGTACTGCAGGTTGTCCAGCTCCCGCACCGCATCCTTGGTCCTCTGGATGAGCTCCGTGAGGACCCGTGGGGGACGCTCCCGACGGACAAAGTCATGCTGGGGAGAGGAGAGAGGGCAGAGGTTAGAGGTCAGAGGTTAGAGGTCAGGGTTATGGTTCATGAGGACCCGAGGGAGGTGATGCTGATACACAAAGTCATGCTGCAGGGGGACAGGAGAGAAAGAGGTCAGAAGTTATACACAGTGTCTGTCTGTTTGACTGTCTGTCTGATTATAAAGTATGTAAATATGTGAGATATGTACCAAAAAACTGTGAGGATGTTGACAGGGTAGTCAGGGTAAGTGTAGAAACAGGTCCACAAAATGGGGGAAGACCTCTTAAATGTTTTATCTTTTATAACACAGCCGTTACTTCATGTTATAAATCCATGGTATTATTAACATATATTCTATATCAATAATATATCAATACTCCATGTGATTATTATTTCAGAGGACATTACATCTCTCTCTCTCGCTCTTTGCCCATTGGTCACTAGAGGGCGCCTGTGGGTTATTCAACCTAGATTTGAGTTTCTTCTGCTGGCTTACCAGAAAAAAAAGAAAAAAAGTATATATGAAATACTCCATCCTATAGTACACACACACACACACACACACACACACACACACACACACACACACACACACACACACACACACACACACACACACACACACACACACACACACACACACACACACACACACACACACACACACACACACCACACACACCACACACACACACACACACACACACACACACACACACACACACACACACACACACACACACACACACACACACAACTGCACTCAACACACATTCATAAAAAATAAATTAGCCAATTGGCTGCTGAGTGGAAATGCAATATATGCAACCACTTGGGGGCTGAAACAATGCATGTCTCTCCCTACACACCTTCCTTCTATCTGACAGATGCTGGCTGGGGTAATGTAATGGACTCTCCGATTCAGAAGCAGAAGGATGACATCATACTCTGGAAATAGAGATGAAACATTTTCCCGTTTTCAAACAAACGGACAGAGAGAGGGAGCGAACGAGTGAGTGAGAGAAAACGAGAGCTGCCATGGACCAGGGGGCTGGGAGAGAGAGAAAGATAGAGCGATAGAAAAGAGAGAGATGGAGGACTAATCTTCAGAGTAATCCCTTCCCGAAAAAAGGAAATCAAAAACCCCAATCCTGGGGACCATGAACGGAGTCGGACCGACGGTTCGCATCCTTCTCTTCCCTTCCCTTCCCCCCCATCCCAACATTTTCCTCCCCCATTTTTTTGATGCATGCACCCAACCATGTGATTCTCCAAAGATCATGGGGACAGTGTAGTAGTGTAGTTTTGGTTGGGTGTAGGACTAAAGGAGTATGGGAAGCGAAGTTTGCCTCTATATTGAGGAAGTGGAACCTGAAGGGAAAGAGATTAGTGACCTGATTTCTCCTAAAGAGCTCAAAGAGGGGCAGAGGGCAATGAGTGTGTGTGTGTGTGTGTGTGTGTGTTTGTATTAATCAGGGGCAGTGATCTGGATGCCCCCTTCCCCGACTCAGATTAGGAGCAAGCTGCCTACTAGGCACTGATCTAAGGTCAGCTTAGCCTTTCCCCTACTAATAATTAAAGGTTAGGATTTGGGAGAGGGAAAACTTATTCTAGATCTGCACCTAAGGGACAAGGGTTACTTCTCCCCAGAGCTCCAGACCCCACAATCTCATCCCCTCTAGCCCACTAACCCCTCCCTGGGCAGCCAGGTAAGACCGACAGGCCAGTGAGAGAGCGTGACAACCAACCAAGAACATAAAACTCTTAGCAGGCCAATAGGCTTACCTGTCGGCCAAACAAACAAAAAGATCAACTCTACATTACACGGCCAGACACACACACACACACACACACACAGATTAACAGTGGACTGGCCAATCAGGATGTACAAACAAAGGCTAGCTGGCAGAATACATTGACACACAACTGACTGTGCTCTTGTACTGTAACACATGGGTCTATGGGGGGCAGTCAGTCTGACTTTAGCTTTCATTGTGTGTCAAGGGGATATGTTCAGAATGTTTAGAGTGAGTCCACACACACACTATGGATGTCTTATGAACCTCCAACACCAGGTGTACTATAGCGCAAGATAAAAAAAAAAGGGTTCAAAAACACTTAACGAAACCCTAACCCCCTTCTCACTAGGGAATAGGGTGCCATTTTGGACACATTCGTCCAGATAGTATTTGAGAGACTTACACAGGAAGTGAGGTCACAGCCTCTGTCAGAGATAACAGGAAGTGCACTCACCCGCAGCAGCTCCCCCGACGAAAGTCTGTCCTGAGGAATTTTGAGTAGGCAGTAGTCAACGAAGCTCCGGAACGGGTCCGACCTTGTAGAAAGATAGAGGGATGGAGAGGTGGAGCAATGGAGAGGTGGAGAGAAGGAGAGGTAGAGTGGAGGTGGAGAGGTGGAAGGATTGGAAGAAAACAGAATACAACAATGATTAGACAGGCATAAAAGGCAATAGCTGTCTCACCAAGCTATCTTAAGATGAATGCATTAACTAACTGTAAGTCGCTCTGGATAAGAGTGTCTGCTAAATTACTACAATGTAGGAATATATACACTCCCCTACGTATTTATTTGGACAGTGAAGCTAAAACGTTTATACGAGGCGACAGTACAGAATGTAACCTTTCATTTTAAGGTATTTTCATACATATCAGTTTTACCTTTTCGAAATGAACACACTTTATTTATCTAGTCCCTCCATTTGAAGGTGTCATAAGTATTTGGACAACTTCACTTAAAGTGTATTCAATTTAGTCAAAAGTTTAGTATTTGGTCCCAGATTCCTAGCACGCAATGATTACAACAAGCTTGTGACTCTACAAACTTGTTGGATGCATTTGAAGTTTGTTTTGGTTGTGTAGAAATTAATGGTAAATAATGTATTGTGTCATTTTGGAGTCACTTTTATTGTAAATAACAATAGAATATGTTTCTGAACACTTCTACATTAATGTGGATGCTACCATGATTAGGGATAATCATGAATGAATCGTGAATAATGATGAGTGAGAAAGTTAGCGGCATAAAGATCATGCCCCCATCTTCCGAGTGGCGCAGTGGTCTAAGGCACTGCATCGCAGTGCTAGCTGTGCCACTAGAGATCCTGGTTCGAATCCAGGCTCTGTCGTAGCCAGCCGCGACCGGGAGACCCATGGGGCGGCGCACAATTGGCCCAGGGTAGGGGAGGGAATGGCCGCAAGGGATGTAGCTCGGTTGGTAGAGCATGGCGTTTGCAACGCTAGGGTTGTGGGTTCGATTCCCACGGGGGGCCAGTATGAAAAATAAAAAAATAATGTATGCACTCACTAACTGCAAGTCGCTCTGGATAAGAGCGTCTGCTAAATGACTAAAATGTAAAAACATGCTAACCTCTCACCATTACCAATAACAAGGGAGGTTAGCATGTTTCTTTGGGGGGGGGGTTGATATTTATGCCTCTGTACATTTCTCACTCATCATTATTCATGATTCATTAAATGATTATACGTAATCATAGTAGGATCCACATTAATGTAGAAGTGTTCAGAAACATATTATATTCTTATTTACAATAAAAGGGACTCCAGAATGACACAATACATGATTTACCATTCATTTCTATTGGGCACAACATACTCCGAAACACAACCAAAACAAACTGCAAATGCATCCAACAAGTTTGTAAAGTCACAAGCTTAATGTAGTCATTGCGTGCTAGGAATAGGGGACCAAATACTAATCTTTGGACTAAATTTAATACACTATAAGTAAATTTGTCCAAGTACCTATGATACCTTCAAATGGTAGAACTAGATACATAAAGTGCTTTCATTTAGAAAATGGTAAAACATTTGATCTCAAATCCAACATGCTGGAGTATAGAGCCAAATTAAAAGTTCTAGCTTCACTGTCCAAATAAATACAATGTAGTGAATGTACATCCACTTTTCCACTTTCAAGCCATAGAGTCACGGTAAAGCCAGGGGTGCTTCTATAGCTATTCATCATGTTGTCTGTGCTATTGAAAGTCCATCTTCAAACTCTGTATGGCGATGTCATATAGCCTACATCATGGTTCTTCAATTCCGGTCCTGGAGGGCCGAAACACTTCTGTTTTTTATTTCTACCTGGTAGTTAATTGCACTCACCTGGTGTCCCAGGTCTGAATTAGCCCCTGATTAGAAGGAGAGGATGAATAACAGAGGTGTTTCGGCCCTCCAGGACCGGAATTGAAGAACCCTGGTCTACATAGTTGTATACATTTTAAACTAGTCTCAGCTAATGAGAGAGGCTAATGCCAGAGGCCTCTTTGGAACACCTCCAACAATACACTGACTAGTGTGTGTGTTTGTGTGTGTATACAGTGTGTGAATTCAATAGAAGACGAATCAAATTGTACCTCTATGGGAGGACCATAACCTTGCTTCACACACTCTCTTCAGTACAAGACTAAGGCTTGCTTTTAATGCTAATTTGTCAAAATATGCATAATCTTTGCATACTGAAAAGACAGTCAAATATTGTATTATTTTAGTTTCGCAATCACACAATCGATTCTCTCAGTAAGGAACATGGGAAAAAATGCAACACTTACACCTTCAGGCAAATCACTTCGGAAAGAGTGACGCAGGCTTCCACTTGTTTTAGCTGTATTATAGATCCTCTATTTGTTGAAAGGAATGTATTCCTAAAGCCATATACAATTGAAGTCGGAAGTTTCCATACACCTTAGCCAAATACATTTAAACTCAGTTTTTCACAATTCCTGACATTTAATCCTAGCAAAAATTCCCTGTCTTAGGTCAGTTAGGATCACCACTTTATTTTAAGAATGTGAAATGTCAGAGTAATAGTGTAATAGTAGAGAGAATGATTTATTTCATATTTTATTTATTTCATCACATTCCCAGTGGGTCAGAAGTTTACATACACTCAATTAGTATTTGGTAGCATTGCCTTTAAATTGTTTAACTTGGGTCAAACATTTCGGGTAGCCTTCCACAAGCTTCCCACAATAGGCTGGGTGAATTTTGGCCCATTCCTCCTGACAGAGCTGGTGTAACTGAGTCAGGTTTGTAGGCCTCCTTGCTCGCACACGCTTTTCCAGTTCTGCCCACACATTTTCTATATGATTGAGGTCAGGGCTTTGTGATGGCCACTCCAATACCTTGACTTTGTTGTCCTTAAGCCATTTTGCCACAACTTTGGAAGTATGCTTGGGGTCATTGTCCATTTGGAAGACCCATTTGCGACCAAGCTTTAACTTCCTGATTGATATCTTGAGATGTTGCTTCAATATATCCACACCATTTTCCTTCCTCATGATGCCAACTATTTTGTGAAGTGCACCAGTCCCTCCTGCAGCAAAGCACCCCCACATCATGATGCTGCCACCCCGTGCTTCACGGTTGGGATGGTGTTCTTCGGCTTGCAAGCAACCCCCTTTTTCCTCCAAACATAATGATGGTCATTATGGCCAAACAGTTCTATTTTTGTTTCATCAGACCAGAGGACATTTCTCCAAAAAGTAGGATCTTTGTCCCCATGTGCAGTTGCAAACTGTAGTCTGGCTTTTTAATGGCGGTTTTGGAGCAGTGGCTTCTTCCTTGCTAGGCGGCCTTTCAGGTTATGTCGATATAGGACTCGTTTTACTGTGGATATAGATACTTTTGTACCTGTTTCCTCCAGCATCTTCACAAGGTCCTCTGCTGTAGTTCTGGGATTGATTTGCATTTTTTTTACCAAATTCCGTTCATCTCTAGGAGACAGAACGCGTCTCCCTCCTGAGCAGTATGACAGCTGCATACTATGGTTTGTACAGATAAACGTGGTACCTTCAGGCGTTTGGAAATTGCTCCCAAGGATGAACCAGACTTGTGGAGGTCTACAATGTTTTTTCTGAGGTCTTGGCTGATTTCTTTTGATTTTCCCATGATGTCAAGCAAAGAGGCACTGCGTTTGAAAGTAGGCATTGAAATACATCCACAGGTACACCTCCAATTGATTCAAATTATGTCAATTAGCCTATCAGAAGCTTCTAAAGCCATGACATCATTTTCTGGAATTTTCCAAGCTGTTTAAAGGCACAGTCAACTTAGTGTATGTAAACTTCTGACCCACTGGAATTGTGATACAGTGAATTATAAGTGAAATAATCTGTCTGTAAACAATTGTTGGAAAAATTACTTAGTAGATGTCCTAACCGACTTGCCAAAACTATAGTTTGTTAACAAGAAATTTGTGGAGTGGTTGAAAAACGAGTTTTAATGACTCCAACCTAAGTGTATGTAAACTTCCGACTTCAACTGTAAGTTCTATATCCATCAGTATTTGGGTCCAATAGAGTACAACATTGCACCCACGTCAACCTTTATGGTGCGATACTATACTGTGCCAATAAAAGTACACTGGCTGTAGTATCATAACATTGTAAATGTTGACAGAGTCATGTTTGACTGGATCTTCCTCCTATGGCAGTCATCCCACTCTAAGTTCAAAGAGCATCAACAGCACCAGAAAGAGGGGGGGCTAGTGTGATTGCCGCCCGTCTTTCTGTCTCTCTCTTCCTTCTCTCACCCCGTCTCTGCCTCGCTTTCCCTGCCTCGCTCAATCCAGAGCTGCATTTGTCTGTCTGTCTGTCTGTCTAAATCCCTGTCTCTCTCTGCCTCCCTCCATCTATCCGTCTCACCCTCCCTCCCGTCTGCAGAGTGTGGTTTGGTGTGTGGTACAGTGCAGTAGTTGCCTGTGAGTTTAGCCTGGGGCTTGGTTCTTTAAATAGGAAAGGCCTCAGCTCAGCCCCTCAGGTAATTACATAAGAGACAGACTGGGACTTCCTGGGCTTTGAGAGGGTGTGTGTTTGTGTGGTCACACAGCTCAGCAGAGGGATGGTGAGGACTTACCACTCGTTGGACTGCAGCGTGGGAGAGTCGTTCTGGGCAATGTGATACAAGGCACTCATGGCGTTCATGTTGAACAGGGGAGGCTTGCGCTCCGCTTTGGAGAGGGAACGAGAGAGAGAGAGAGAGAGCGAGAGATGGAAAGGGGGAGTAAAGAAAGAGAGGAAGAGAGCGAAAGAGAGGGGGTTATCATATCTGGTTGACCAGGAGGAAAGATAAGATATAATTTTAACCTAGACAATGTTATTTTATCGCTCTCTCTCTCTGTGTGTGTCTATGTGTGTACATGTAGTGTCCGAAATGCATATGGGGCCATGGTAATCACACGACAAACACATGATTGAGCAACATTGTGAATCAACTGTCATGTGTCAGTCTGTCAAGAGTGTGTCATTGCGCTCTCTAAATGGGGAAGTCCAGGATGGTCTAGCTATGTCTGTTTGTTTCTTTGACATTCTGGAAAGGCCATAAAAAGTATATTTTCCTAACAAGTAACGATGCCTCCTGAGATGTCCAAAATAGTGTCTGTGCTAGAAGCTGAGTGGACTAGTTGCAAGATAATGCTCTACAGGGAGCAAAGAGGAGTATCTATAGTGCCTTTAGAAAGTATTCATACCCCTTGTGTATAGAGAATGAAATACAGAAATATCACATTTACATAAATACAAGTTAGAATCACCTTTGGCAGCAATTACAGCTGTGAGTCTTTCTGGGTAAATCTCTAAGAGCTTTGCACACCTGGATTGTACAATGTTTGCACATTATTCTTTTAAAATTATTCAAGCTCTGTCAAGTTGGATGTTGATCATTGCTAGACAGCCATTTTCAAGTCTTGCCATAGATTTTTATGCCGATTTAAGTCAAAACTGTAACTAGGCCACTCGGGAACATTCAATGCCATCTTGGTATGCAACTCTTTGTGTTTAGGTTATTGTCCTGCTGAAAGATGACTGTCTCCCAGTGTCTGTTGGCAAGCAGACTGAGCCAGGTTTTCCTGTTGGATTTTGGCTGTGCATAGCTCTATTCCGTTTCTTTTTATCCCAAAAAAATTCCCTAGTCCTTGACAATGACAAGCCACCACCATGCTTGAAAATATGAAGTGGTACTCAGTGATGTTTTGTGTTGGATTTGTCCCAAACATAACGCTTTGTATTCAGGACATAATTTCTTTGCCACATTTTTTGCAGTTTTACTTTAGTGCCTTGTTGCAAACAGGATGCATGTTTTTTGAATATTTGTATTCTGTACAGGCTTCCTTCTTTTCACTCTGTCATTTAGGTTAGCATTGTGGAGTAACTACAATGTTGTTGATCCATCCTCAATTAAACTCTAACTGTTTGGCCTCATGGTGAAATCCCTGATTTCCTTCCTCTCCGGCAATTGAGTTATTAAGGACGCCTGTATCTTTGTAGTGACTGGGTGTATTGATACACCATCCAAAGTGTAATTCATAACTTCACCATGCTCAAAGGGATATTAAATGTCTGCTTTTATTTAATTTTTTTACCCCTCTACTAATAGGTGCCCTTCTTTGCGAGGCATTGAAAAACCTCCCTTGTCTTTGTGGTTGAATCTGTGTTCGAAATTCACTGCTCGACTGAGGGACAGATAATTGTATGTGTGGGGTACAGATATGAGGTAGTCATTCAAAAATCATGTTAAACACTATTATTGCACACAGAGTCCATGCAAGTTATTATGTGACTTGTTAAGCATATTTTTACTCGTGAACTTATTTAGGCTTGCTATAACAAAGGGGTTGAACACTTATTGACTCAAGACATTTCAGCTTTTCATTTTGAATTGATTTGTAAACATAATTCCACTTTGACACTATTGGGTATTGTGTGTAGGCCAGTGACACAACATCTACATTTTATCAATTTTTAATTCAGGCTGTAACACAACAAAATGTGGAAAAAGTCAAGGGGTGTGAATACTTTCTGAAGACACTGTATGTACCAATGCACTGACTGTAAGTTGCTCTGGATAAGAGCGTCTGCTAAATGACTGAAATGTAAATGTAAGAAAGACAGTAAAAACTGAGAAAAGCCTGGTACAGTAAAAACAGATGTACACTAACCCAGTTCAATACAGGTGATTCCCAGGGACCAGATGTCCACCTTCCCTTCATACTGGCCCTCGTCCATCGCTAGGATCACTTCCGGGGCCATCCTGGGACACACACACACACGTCAGTAATTAACCACCACTGTTACATTTGTGGAAATTCATAATCTGTTAAGCCTGGATACCTTAAAGTCCCTTTGGTATGCAGTGATAGCCTAGCTAGCAGCTCAGATCTGAGTACTGTGCTGCTGGAAGACTGAAGGCGTACGTTATGTGTCGAATTAACGTGACTGCCTGGCTGGATACAAGTAGCACACTGTGAGCTTTGAGTATCATGAATAGAGAGAGTATCAGGAGAATCGACACAGTGTTCTGGGAGTTCTCCCTGTTTTCTTTATATGCTTGTTTATATGTTTGTCTCCAGCGTTACTACGAGGGTTTCTATGTGAATGACCAGTGGCTTTTATAACATAATAAATAGTTGTAAATTATGACACATAGCCATCTGGTCCCGGTGCTTCCCACATTTGTGTTCCAGCAGAACATGCGATTCAATGAATCAACTAATCGTCAAGGCCTCGAGTAGTTAAATCAAATGTGATAGTGGTGGGCTGGAAGAAAAGCCATGGGGCGGCGCACAATTGGCCCAGCAATCGTCCAGGGTAGGGGAGGGAATGGCCGGCAGGGATGTAGCTCAGTTGGTAGAGCATGGCGTTTGCAACGCCAGGGTTGTGGGTTCGATTCCCACGGGGGGCCAGTATGATTTTCTTTTTTCTTTTTCTTTTTTTATATAAAAAAACCCCAAAATGTATGCACTCACTAAACTGTAAGTCGCTCTGGATAAGAGCGTCTGCTAAATGACTAAAATTTAAAATGTAAAAATGTGCATTCTGGGGAGGAAAGCCCTATTGTAGTGTGTTAGGTACTGACAAGTATGGTACAGTACTCCCACAAAGGAGAAGTTTTGGACAAGGTCTCAATGAGACTAACTTGGGTAAATAACAGCTAAATACAAGAGTATACAAATACAATACAAGATATAGCTTTACATTGCGTCAGTGTTAAGATATTGACCAGTAAGGTGTTGGTGTTGAGGTGCTAATCATGTAGGAATACACTGAGTGTACAAAACCTCCCACACAGTCACACACAGTATATACGCATGTGCACGGGCTCGCTTCATACTTTTACAACGTGGTAGCCACGGGACCAAAACAGCGGAGAAGTTGAGCCTCGCGCTTCAACGCTCTTAGTTGTTGCAGAAATTGACCCACTATGCTGTTTACTTTCTGCATCTACGTCATATCGCTGACTCTACCTTCAAATGGTAGGTACTGACCAGTAAGGTGTTCCTACGAAGGAGTTGGCAGGAGAGGCTATGGAGGCAGAGCCGAAGTCTGCCAGTTTGACCTGGCCTGGCTCAGTTAGCAGAATGTTTCCAGCTTTCACATCTCTGGAGAGAGAGAAAAAAAGAAGCGATGACACAGACAACAGGGTTAGAACAGGGTGGTGGGATATGGTTCAGAGTGATACGGGCTACTTTAGATGTATTGGCTACCTCTCTTGGGAGTGATAAGTTTGAAGTGCACTGGCGTCTGTCTTTTTCATGCATATACCTGCATATCCACTAGCCTCTAGCATCTAATGTGGTGTGCATATGACAATGTGACTTTATAGTGATGCGTTTAAAAGCAGAAAGAAAGGGAAATATTGTCGCACTGTCAGGTTGAAATGCAAATAACTCAAGCTTAATAAAGACATTTCCTTGAGCTCAGCTAAACAGTGAGCGGAGCACACATTTATTTAGGCCTGTACTTTGGGAGGCATACAACCTCAATTAATTGATGTGGTGAATAAATATACTTATTTCTTTCCTTTTGGTTTCATAACTTTTAACGTGGTAAAACAGTAATATTTGTCTTTATGGGCCATGGTGGTAAAATTCTAAGGGTTTCACGTAACATTTTCCATAAGTGATGAAGAGGGCTTGTTGGAATGCACGTTGAACTGCAGATTAGGGTTGGCAGATACAGACATGACAACTCTAAGAACGTTATCTCTGATGAGTTTATTATTACCTAACAGTGAGAACAGAGGCACCACGAATATCATCTCAGCATCAACTCAAACGTGTTTTAATCTGTTGATGACAAACATTTGAACGAAGGGGAAGATAGAAGACAGGTAGACCGACAGCTCACCTGTGAATCATATTATGGGAATGTAGGTAAGCCAGTCCTAGCAAGGCACCGTGGGTTATGGCAGCAATTTCAACCTCTTGGAGCGGTTTCTTATGAACTGGAAGAGAGGGGGAAAAATAAGAGAAAAACACATCAAGGGAGAAAACCGTCAGTGATATCTAGAGACACAAGCAATCTGCCCTCCTGATATGACACACAACAACAAACCCCAGAAGCATCTGTTAAATGTGTAAAGTCTAACAGGGTTGGGATAAAAGGGTTATGAAGCACATTCCCTGTGGGTGGATTGCTGCTCTGGCAGAGTGATAGCCTGGTCCCAGATCTGTTTGTGCGGCCTTACCAACTTAATGACAATAGGAGTTGGCATTGGCAAGACGGCACAAACAAATCTGTGACCAGGCTAGCAGAGCGACGCATTGCCTTAGAGTCAAATAGGTCAAAACCAACCAACTGTCATGGCTTTTTAAAACGGTTTCCATGACAGCCAGGACGGGACACAAACAGAAGTGCTAAATATATCACTCAGGCCAAGGTGCGGAATGTTTGGAGACCCTGAACAAGAACATTCACAGTGGAATATTACATGCCCTGTAAGATAGAAAAGGTTCCTTGCTTACCATGAATATTGCATTACTAATGGATTTATAGAGCACATGCTCAGAAAGTACTCAGATATTTTCATTGCGATTTTGTAACTTTTCTTTGGATGAACTGTGTGTGTGTGTGTGTGTGTGTAGGTGTATAAGTGTGTACTCACCCTCTAGTAAATCTGATGCGGAGCCTAGGCAGTACTCCATCACCAGCTGGAAGAGAGAGAGAGAAAGGTCAGAGGTCAGAGACACAACTGGACACCCAAAAACACACCCAGGATTGAGAGTTGCCTCCTTAAAAAAATTACCAACAACCCAAATTATCTATTACATAATGACAGAGACAAAAACAAGGAAAGCCTCATTTATTACCATCATAGCAGAGGTAGTGGAAACCAAAAAGAAGAAAGTGCTGTCAAGTGCAAAGAGATTTTCCTAACGACTTTTACACTGGAGTGGTTGGTGCATATTTTAAAAGGTCATGTCATAAACCACATTGTAAAAAGGGGGGTTTAGAGAAGGAGACAAACGGTGAAAGACAGAGAATCAGAGAAACTATGCAAAAGAGAGATGGAGAGAGAGACAAAGATGGAAAAGATAGAAAATGGCGAGATATAGAAAATGGCGAGACCGAGAGAAAGAGAATGAGAGAGATTATATGGGAAAGAGAGAGACACAGTCAGAGTGAGAGAGAGAGATGGAAAGAAAGAAAGAGTTGAAAGATAGAAACAGCCTGATGAAGAGGGGGAAAAACGGGTTTCCCTGGTAGCTCTGCCACACTCCACTGACCCAGGCAGTGTTATCCTTCAAGTAGCAGCCTTTGTACTCAATGGTGTTTGGGTGGCGTAGCTGTTCCAAAAACTTGACCTCCTTAATGATGTCCTGCCATTTCTGAGGAGAGAAGGAGGGAGAGAATGAGAGATAGAGTGTAAGTGTCAACAGCATCAACACATCTGCAAAGAGCCCTATTCACAGCATGTTGACCCTGACATATTGGCCAGGGCAGTGGGTTTATGGATAGGTCAGTTCCATTTACACAAGAGAGAAGTTTGAACCCAACCCTTGACCCCAACCCTAACCTCAACCCAAGGCCTTGTGGATCGCAGGGAATGTTGAACCTCTGTTTAAAGCCCTTAGGTGTGACCATACTGTGGCCAGTGGGAAGAGTGTGTAATTTCAAAGGGTTCGTGTTAGTTGTCCTCTTGTCTCATTTGACCTCTGCTGCAAGGCCTAAGTTGTGACCATTCCAGTGGCCAGGTTGTGATTTCAAAGATACAGAGTTGTGACCATCATAGTGGCCAGAGGAAGGGACTGTCCATGGAATGCTGAACCTCCGTTTCAAGTCCTGAGGTGTGACCGTCCCATTGGCCATAGTGGACCGAGTTTGAGAGGAAGTTCAAAATGTTTGTATTAGTTCTCCTCTCAACTTGTTTGACCTCTGTTTCAAGGCCTGAGGTGTGACTGATAAAGCAGACAGTGGTAAATTAGTTTAACTTGTGTTTAAAGTGAGTAAAAGGCTGCAGTCCTCTCACCTCGGTGGTCTGTTTGCCATTGTAGGACATCTTCTTGATGGCCACCACCTCGTTGGAGTAGGAGTTTCTGGCCTGAGGGAGAGTAGAGGAGGGGAGAGAGAGGAGAGGAGAGAAGGGGAGAGAGAGGAGAGGAGAGGAGAGGAGAGAAGGGGAGAGAGAGGAGAGAGAGAGAGAGAGAGAGAGAGAGAGAGAGAGAGAGAGAGAGAGAGAGAGAGAGAGAGAGAGAGAGAGAATGCGAGAACAGGCATTTCTTATAGAAACACATAGCACTAGTCTGGATACAGGATATAGGCCTATATTTGACAGCTGGCTAGAATCCAGTTGGTAGCCGAAAACTGGTAAAAGTAGGTCATATGACTGAGATATAGCCAATCTCTATATATGGCTCTGGGTCAAATTAGGGTAAATGGGAAACAAGAATCAACTGTCTCTTCAAAAGATGGCGATACTAAACATATGTGACAGAATCTGATCACCACAGGAAACTCCCTGTAGTTACAGATATGAGCATAGAGGAAAACAAGCATAGAGGAAACAAGCAACTCAACAGAGAAGCTAGCTAGTTAGCTATGCACTTAACCACACAGTAAGTAGTACATTGCGTGTGTTAAACCCTCTAAGGCTTTTAGAACACATGGATGGCTTCCTCATATAAACATCAATGGTTCCCCATTCCAGTAATTTCCCCCCATACACATGCCTTTGGTTGGAAGGAATGTGAATGCATAGTAGAGCTATTAAATAGCCACTGCAGCTAGCTAACACTCCCAGTTAGCTATCCTAGCCACAGCGGGTAAAGAAGAAGTGTATCAATGACCACAAAGGCACCATGATTTCATCATAGCCAGCCAAATCAGCCAGACAAGACTGATGGCCTCAAAGTACTGTATGTGTTGACATTTAGCCAAATAAATAGAATTACTAGAAATGGGCAAATCCCTTCAGACTTTAGAAATTTGACTGGAACACTTTAAGGGGCAATCTGGGATTGGTATATCCATTTCGGTCTTTTAAATTATTGATACATAGCCATTGACTGCTGTTGTTTTTCGAATCCCAGATTGCCCCTTTAAAACAATTTCCCATTCTAGTAATTATATTTCAATGACTGTAGCCTTGTCCGGTAGATGACTGGATAAAGAGGAGCACTAATGCCAGTCAACCGAGGCCCAGTAAAATCTCCTGCCTGCCCTACTATCCATCTATCCATCTATCCATCCATCTATCTATCCATCCATCTATCCATCTATCCATCACCAGCTGGCCTCGCCACTTAATCCTGAGAACAGCTGTCTTAGGAGGAAAGGCTTCAGTTTATCCCTCTTCCCCCCAGCCTTGCATCTGGAGTGGCTGGGGGATGGATGAGGGAAGGAGGAAAGGGATGATGGACGTGGAGGAGGAGGAGGAAAGAGAGGGATTGGGGAAAATGCGGGATGGAGGGAGGGTTGAAAGGAAGAGGACGGAGGGAGGGGAGGAGGAGGAAAAGGAGGAGAGGGCTGGAGGGAGGGATGAGAGGGGTGAAGGGAGGGGAGGAGGAGGATGGAGGGATTGGTGCTAGCAGATTCATCCTCCCTCTCTGTGTTGATTTAGAATCAAAGGCTTTATGTCATTAGTGACGAACAGATTAAGAAATGCAGCAGAGAGACAGAATTTAACAGAAATGGCAGCAGAGTTATTATTAGACAACCTTGAGAGAGCGAGTGATCTTGTCCCTGGACTCTGACATCTATAGCCACAGACAGACTGACATCTATAGCCACAGACAGCTAGACTGGGTGTCTAACATGATCCTGACAGTGAATTGTATGGATTGCACTCAATCACCCAATGCATATAATACACACTGACCAGGGCCAGTTTTCCAGACCCAGATTAAGACTAGTCCTGGACTAAATGGCACTTTCAATTGACAATCGCCATTAAAGCATCTCCATTGGTTGAGAAACTGAAAAGAAATAGTCCCTGTCCAATGGTTGGCCAATAACTTCAAATACTATCTAAATACACAATTTATTGTGAAATATCTCCCAGTAATACAGAGTTAAACATATCTCAATTTAGTATCCAGCCCTCAGGTACTACTCACAAAGTAGACAGCCCCGAAGCTGCCATGGCCGATCTCGTGCAGGTCACAGAAGACTTCCTCGGGGTCATCTTTGAAAAAGAGGTCGGCCAGCTCGGGGTCCTTCAGCGGTCCCTTCCGCGTGGACGAGGGCATGGTGGGGTGGGCAGGGCTAGACGGTACCGTGGTTACCGTGGTGTTCCACCTCACTGCAGCTGCTCCTCCTCATCCACGCGCCAGGCATTTACCATACCCACCTGGAGAGGAGAGGAAACATAGATAGATAGATAGAGATAGAGAGAGACAGCATTTACGATCAATCACTACCTGGATGTAAGACGCAGACACACACACACAAACATATGAAATACTTTATGAATCCACAAATCATAATTCATACAATAAGGATTCAAACATTTCAGGACAGGGATATCGGGACACCTAAGGAAACAGATAGCATCTTCTCCACACAGCAAGGCTGCCCATGACTGCTGACACGGAGCAGTAACTTGCTAGCTGCTTCGTCTTATGCAGGCCTGCTATCTGAAGGCCACGTACTGTCAGTCTGTGAACATGGCCGGGACAGCGAGCTTGCACTGATAGCCGAGGCATGACACGAGGGGCTGGTATTTAAGCAGCTTGTTAGGAATGGCCTGATCCATGTCGCAGACACACACGTTTATGATGGAGTTACTGTACGCCTACACACAACATAGAGATTACATTTACAATCAGGACCTACAGGCAAACACAAACATGCATATACACACAGTCAGATCAAGTGACTGAATCAGTTCAACCTTGTCTGCTTCCATATCCTACTCATCCCCATATAACCTGATTCTTTCCAGGAATTACACGCTGCATGTGTGTGTGTGTGTGTGTGTCACGTGAACAGTTGGCAGGGTAGAGGGGAGGGAAGGAGATGGTATGGCATGGACTGCTCACTGTCTGCTCCTGTTGCTCATCCAAGCAGAAGATCAGACACACAGTCGGGGGAAAATACACACAAGCACGCACGCACACACACACACACACTGGACAGCTCGATCACCGTGAGTCATTGGTGCATCACTTCCACACATGCGCACACACACACTTGGACACACACTCGGGGGGACACTCGGGGACACACAGGGCAGCAGCAGCAGGTAGGGCTGTTGTGAGTCACCAAGCTGCAGCCAGGCCATCAAGCGTGTGACATACAGCCTGAGCCATGCTCCAGTTAGTGACACACCAATGACTGTATATATGAATGGACAAAGCCATCAATCACGTGACACCATTGCGTCCTATGTGAAGACTCAATAGCACATTGAAGCCAAATGAAATCGGTTAAGATTGCTTCTCATGGAGACATAACATGCGCAGTTTGAGCTATTGCAGGAAGTGACGTTGCAGGCTAGCTCACTGCTGCCCCCTCTCATTGAATAACTCAAGTTGAAAGCCGACCGGGGTACTGCAGGCTGGCATTAGTAACTAAATTATCCTTATAACTTCTGTGTTCGATTTTAAAATAAATCGGTTCAAGGACATACATCTGGTGTATTAGAAGCAATTATTGGTACCACAGTTGTCTTCAATTAATTGTTTCAATTTACACGAAGATTGAAATTTTTTCCATTCAGTATAATGGGGGATCCTGTTTTCTGCTAACAATGCCTGCAGTACCGCAGTCGGTCTTCAACTTCCATGGCTTCAATGAGATTGGGGTTCTCCCCTGGGATGCACACACACACACACGGACACACACACACAGAGAGAGCAGAGGGCCACATGATCACGCACAAACACTTCTTTACACAGGCAGAAAAACACACACAGAGTGTACACAGGCAGAGACAGTAACACACAGACACTCAACATCGTCATCATAATTCTCATGAGCTCCATCTTAAGAGGTATATCTTCTTTTCCGATACAACAATATATCAAAAACCCTGTTTTTATTTTAAATGGTTGCTTTCAATGTAAAGAGCTTTATGATTTACATCTGTAAATGAAATGCTCTACAAATATAACGTATTATTATTATTATTATTATTATTAAGTTGACTTCACGCCTGAACGATGGTATGACAAATGAATAGGCTACGGTGTGAAAAACCGATAGGATGTGTAGGAAGTATCCATAATGCATGACAGCCTGGGTACAATGGTTCTAATGTGTACATTACAATACTGTGCATTGTGTTACATTCTTGCTATAGCGTCACTCTGTTCAACTAAAGTGCACTTCTAACATACAACTCACATTATTACTGCTATGTAATACCCGTGGAAAATATGGGTTGAAACCTTTTTTAAAACATTGATTCGTTCCACCACTGATATCAGAGTTAGGAATGGGTAAACTACTGGCAACTTAACGCAGTTCATGGTCAGATTGTTCCGAATGAAATTGGCGCCATGTTTCTTACTGGCCTCTGCTGTTATAGACCTTCCTTAGAACGATAAATACACCCTTTAGCTATAGAAAAACACCATGTATTCAAAGATCCTGCAATCATTCACTGGCCCTTCTGACATGCCAACAGGGAAAACACACTGTGTGTGTGTGTGTGTGTGTAGACAGTGTTTTTGTTTCCATGATTATAGGCTTTACTGTGAATCCAAATAAAGTATTCCAAATGTGTGTGTGTGTGTGTGTGTGTGTGTGTGTGTGTGTGTCTCTTCATTGCATCATCCCTGTCTGTCTTCCCTCTCATCTTGTTGAGCTCAAACCTCTTCAGTAAGAGCTTCAAATAAAACCTGACGTAAACCCCCTGCTCAATCTGGATACACAGCTTCCACCAGACAAAAGAACAGAGATCGAGAGAGAGAGGAAAGAGAGAGAGAGAAATGTGAGAGAGAGGGGAGAAGGAAGAGAGGGGGCAGAGGTGAGATAAAGAGAGAGAAAATAAAGAAGAGAGAGAGAGCGAGCGAGCGAGCGAGCATCAGTGATTTTACCCACGTGGGTTTCAAAGATTTCAAAGCCACTGAGTGCACAAAACATTATGAACACCTTCCTAATATTGAGTTGCACCCCCTTTTGCACTCAGAACAGTATCAATTCGTCAGGGCATGGACTCTACAAAGTGTTGAAAGTGTTCAACAGGGATGCTGGCCCATGTTGACTCAAATTCTTCCCAGAGTTGTGTCAAGTTGGCTGGATGTCCTTTGGGTGGTGGACCATTCTTGATTCACACGGGAAACTGTAGAGCGTTTAAAACCCAGCAGCGTTGCAGTTCTTGACACACTCAAACCGGTGCGCCTGGCACCTACTACCATACCCCGTTCAAAGGCACTTCAATCTTTTGTCTTGCCCATTCACCCTCTGAATGGCACATACACAATCCATGTCCATTGCCTCAAGACTTAAAAATCCTTCTTTAACCTGTCTCCTCCCCTTCATTTAGACTGATTGAAGTGGAGTTTTGTCAATTCAGTGTAAATGAGAGTGATAGAAGGATATAGGGAAGAGGGTCAGAGATAGAAATGGAGCAAATTAAGAAGTCACATGCTCACTCTAGGGACACTTCGCTTCCATCTCTCATCCCTCTATTTTCCCCACTCTCCTCCCGCTCCTCTCCTCCAGCTCCTCTCCTCCAGCTCCTCTCCTCCAGCTCCTCTCCTCCAGCTCCTCTCCTCCCGCTCCACTCCTCTCCTCCCCTCCTCCCGCTCCTCGGTAGGAATATGTGATATGATGCAACGAGGCAACAACAGGTTGTAACAGTGCTGTTGGGTTGGTTCAACCACTGCTCCCCCGTCCACCCACTACCCACTTACACCGTTTGGCGTTTGGTGTGTGTGTGTGTGTGTTGGGGAATAATTGTGGATCTATGAATGCCATTGTGCTAAGGGAGGTGATTAGGGAAGCGGCTTAGATTAGTGTGTGTGTGTGTGTGTGTGTGTGTGTGTGTGTGTGTGTGTGTGTGTGTGTGTATAAATCGGCTCACGTGTGTATGAGGGAGTGCACATGCATGCATTTGTGTCCACATGAATGAATGAGTGGATGCATATAGTACAGTGCCTTCAGAAAGTATTCACACCCCTTTACTTTTTCCACATTTGGTTGTGTTAGTCTGAATTTAAAATGTATTACATTTAGATTTTGTGTCACTGACCTACACACAATACCCCATAATGTCAGTGGTATTTTGTTTCTAGAACATTTTCGAAATTCATCAAAAAAATTAACCTGAAATGTCGTCAAGAAAAGGGGTTAACATGATTTTTTTATGACTACCCCATCTCTGTACACATAAAGATAATTGTAAGGTCCCTCAATTGAGTAGTGAATTTCAAGCACAGATTAAACCACAAATACATTTTTCAATGCCTCACAAAGAAGGGCACCGATTGGTAGATGTGTAAAAATCAAAAAAGCAGACGCTGACTATCCTTTTGAGCATGGTGAAGTTATTAATTAGGCTTTGGGTGGTATATCAATACACCCTGTCACTACAAAGATGCAGGCATCCTTCCTAACTCAGTTGCTGGAGAGGAAGGTACCAGCGCAGGGATTTCACCATGAGGCCAATGGTGATTTTAAAACAGTTACTGAATTGAATGGTTGTGATATAAGAAAACTGAGGATGGATCAACTAGGGCTGTGGCGGTCATGACATTTTGTCAGCCAGTTAATGTCATGCAAATGACTGCCGGTCTCGCGGTAATTGACCGTTAATTAACATAAACATGTTTAGCATCTCCTGGCCTCCACGCATACAAGCAGCTGATACTCGCCTTTGGAACATTTAAAAAAGTATAATAAATCAATTTAAATAAATGTTATTTTAGGCAGGTCTAAAGAAACATTATGATATGAAGAAAATGTACTTTCAGAAGAACTGAATATGAGTTGGACTATTGTATGTTATCTGGCTATGCACCATGCCATAGGCTGTAGGCTATTGATTTGAGAAAGTCGCAAAAAAAGCTTACCTGTTCCTTGCCTCAGGCTGCACACCTCAAGTGATCATATTTTCATCCATCAGACTATTCTCAATTTAATCTTATATGATCACTTGAGGTGTGCAGCCTGAGGCAAGGAACAGGTAAGCTTTTTTTGCGACTGTCACGATCGTCGAACAGAGATGAGGACCAAGGCGCAGCGTTGCAGGCAAACATACTCTTTATTAGAGACACGATCGAAAACGTGACAGTTCACGGTCTAACACAACCGACTAGAAACAAGAACCCACAAACACAAAGGGAAAACAGACAGTTTAAATATGGCTCCCAATCAGAGACAACCAACGACAGCTGACACTCGTT